AGCCTTCCGATTCTGGGTATTGTCCAGTCGGAAAATCGGTTTAATAAATAAATAAATATAGACTAAATCGATAGTTTTTAGTCGATGGTGCCCATCACTACCCCAGGGTGCTCGTAATTTTTCACAGGCGGCTCGCTTCCCCTCTTTTTCGCCCATATTTCGAGCCCCACTACTATTCCCCTCATGCGCCTTGGCTGACCATGCCTAGCATACCCCCATCAAGTACCTGCTACCCAACAACACTGGTGCGATCATTGCGATGCGACAGAGCGCAGAATCGCAGTGTAGCAGACAGCTGCGTGATCGGAAGGGTGTCGTGGGGTAAAAGATGTTACGCTCGATCATGTTTTCGCGTAAGTTTATAACAGTTAATTACTCCGAAACGCCAGCAATTGTTTTGCACTCTTAAACAATACAGTGTTACAACGTTACAGCGACAGTTTGTAATTTGTTTTAAGTGAACTCGTATTGTGAATGCAGAAATACTTTCCACATATATTTCAAGTTTAATTCTGTTCTCGAACTGTTTCATAGTTTGCGTTGCATAAGATGCCGCAATTTGGACCAAATTAATTTTGCTTTTTCGCAACAAAAGATACATAGATCATATTTGTAAATCCCATCGTAACGCGTTTCTTCATAACCTTGTGTAACGAACAGTTTTAATTAACATGAGAAATCACGGTTTCAAGTATTGTTAATATAATATGAAACAGACTCTACATGTTGTAAATAAATGATTTCAATTTTTCTTTAGCCACCATTAATCAGGGCCTGGCGTCCCTTATAAGGAACAACATTGCTCTATCAGGAAGCCCAGGCTCCCTGGTTTGCCAGGCCAAACATGTATCCACAGGAGTGGCATCGCAAAGTCAAGATTTACCGAACAAAGTCGAAAAGAAGCCCTATAGTCCTTTCCAAAACACCAGCAACTTGGCTGAATATGCAGTGGCAAGATTAGACGATCTCTTGAATTGGGGCCGTAAAGGGTCAATGTGGCCACTTACCTTTGGCTTAGCTTGCTGCGCTGTTGAGATGATGCACATCGCTGCACCCAGATACGATATGGACAGATATGGAGTTGTATTCAGAGCTTCTCCAAGACAGGCTGATATCATCATAGTTGCTGGTACCTTAACAAATAAAATGGCACCGGCATTGAGGAGGATTTACGATCAGATGCCTGAACCGAGATGGGTCATATCGATGGGAAGCTGCGCGAATGGTGGTGGTTACTACCATTACAGTTACTCTGTTGTCAGGGGTTGTGATAGAATTCTGCCAGTGGACATATACGTGCCAGGTAATATATTTTACAAAGTACTAATAGGAAAGTACTGAGGAATTGTTATTCGTGCAATGGATCACATGTTCCAGGTTGTCCCCCAACAGCAGAAGCTTTAATGTTTGGAATCCTTCAGTTACAAAAGAAGGTGAAACGGATGGAAACTGTACAGACATGGTACAGGAAGTAATGTAAATATGATAACTGTAGCAATTTATATATAATTCTTAAATTATAACAGAAAATATAATGGAAGTAATAAACGAAACTATGAATTATTTTGAATAATAACTATAGATCGTTAAATGGACTTATTGCATAATTATATTTTCCTAAAATCCATTTATTTCTCAAGTAACTTTTACCATTATGTACAGCCACTAAAAAGTACATACAATATAAATACTACAAATAAAAGACGAAATTGTAATGTTAATAGAAATAATATAATCTTTATGATTACAGATTTACACGAAACTGATGAACTATATTTTTACAGGCGTATGTAATTCAATATATATCTTTCTCTGCTTTACTCTTTATTATCTTCACTATTTAAAATATTTACAACATCTTAATTTAAAAACAAAGCAAAGAAGTTAGGCGGAACATCTTTGCCGCTTAGCTTACCACATATTAAGGCCCCTTTATTGTTATCCTCCTCGTATATTGCTCTATCTAATACTAATTACGATCCGGTTTATTTTAATTATACATACATACATACAGTTTGTTTAATAAAAACACATCGATTGATACGCACCAGACACACGATAGGTACCGTACTCCGCATCTTTTTCTTTCTCTCTTCCTCAAAAAGATGCTGCAACCTACTGTACCCCATTTTTTATTTTCATATACGAGGATACGTTTTTATACGTATGAACATACTGTTATTTCTGTTGTGTCCACAGCCCAAATTTTAAACGCCTACTTTGGTCATTGTTTAGAATGTTACACACAGATTCACTTCTCGTAGAGAGCAACCAGGATACGAAGACAAAAATGAAATCAGCTAGAAAGTATTGTTCTCTTTCGTCAGGTATCTAAAATGATCTGATTAAAACCTTGATTCGCAAACGCGAGTAGCAGATCTATTTCTCAACGTTCTGTCATATAAAAATCTATAGCTTTTACTAAACTATAAATTGAGAATTAAACACTTCGTCGATTTGAAAATAGTCTTTGTGCAGTGGTATGACAAGTACGTTAAAAAATGCACTTCGTTATTTTGACATTCAGAACAATAGCAGTGCCATTTCTCTTTTCTTTCCCTTCTTTTCCTACGGGGATATACACTTGCAGGGAACAAAAGGAGTCTCGAGATAATTTACAATTTACAAAATAATAAAATATATCGATATTTTACATTCTTCACCCTTTTTCCATTTCTCTGTGGCATAGAAAATGACTACAAGTTTGTACAAATTCATATATATGTATACAACCTTTATAAAACTGAAAATGAAATCCTGTAAATTTTCTTTAAAAAAAACATTGAAATAGTGAATAGTGACTTGGATATCGTTTACTACCCATCCATTAATAAAATCCAATTTGCCGTCTATAAAAATCCTTTATGTTTCTCCCGTTCATATTTGATTTTTGATTTCTCAGTTAGAGAAGGCTTCCCTTTCTTTTGTTATACGACCTATGATCGAATAGCAAAATTGTACAAACCTAAACATATCTCTGATTGTGAGCCAATTATTTTACACGTCGAACGCACGAGCTACTAAACTAGTTGATATCATTAAAGAATTGCATGCGACGTCGAGGGTGGCGGGTTGTTCGGCAAGGCAGGCACAGGCCCATCAGTCCATTGTATTAACGTGTGTTCGCCCATCTGCGTGCTCTGAAAGTGATCCTTGAGAAGCGTTTGCGAGAACGTGCAATGCATCTGATACGCCTCACTTTCACGATTCGGGTCCCCGCAAATTCTGTATAAATCTGTCGACAAAGATTATTCGTTCAATAACGAAACGTCGAAAGAATCGAATGAATAAATTGAGAGACGCGTATACCTTTAAGTATAGCGGTAGCCCACAATTGTACATGAACGTCAGGTATCTTAGAAGCTAACTGCATCGCTGGCGTGACCATGTTCATGGATTCTCTGCTGTTTCCTAAGGAAAGGAATATGTGTCCCAGAAGTACTAGGCTGCACGAAGTAAGCCTATTTAAATCCTCGGAATTGGCCATTTTTAACGTCTCTCGGAGGTATCTCCTACAAACGAACTTAATAAGTTCCGTTGTTGAAAAATAAAAATCTTCGATAGTCTGTTTATCGATTTATACTTCGCTTCGTTGTATCTTGCTCCGAAAAACGCCTGGAGACCCTGAACGTAGTAAGCAGCTGCCCTCAAAGAATGGGAATGAGACGGAAGGGATTCGGGATTTATTCGTTCCAATAAAGCACCCAGATCTGCGTCCCTTTTCGTCCTAAGGTATACTATTGCCAAGTTTAAGTTTGCGAAAGTCCACAGCTCCCTTTCTTGCGATGTCTGCGAATGCAAACGTTTCACATAGATATGCATCGAAGAGAACATTGCGAACACAGAAGTAATTATTATCGTACTCTAAGAGCAGCCGTAAACTGTGCTTCCGCTGCCTCCATACAATTCATCGACATCGCGTACAGCCCTAATAAAGCATGTAACTGTGGCCTATGCCCTTGCAATAATCTTGGCTGCTTTCTACATAGCTGACAAGCTTGCGAAATTTCTGCCAGAGCCACACTTTTATTCCCCATTACTAATCGACACATTACTATGTGCTCCAACAGCATCAGTTGAAAAACAGAAAGTATAGGTTTGTTGTCGACAACTGTAAATTAACGTAACGTTAATTTCACTGTATTACGATGCATCTTAATTCTTCTAACAGTATATTTACTTTTAAGCTTTTCAATTTGTATTAATGCTTTGTCCGTATATTTTTGAGCTTTGTCCATGTAACCAGCCTGCATCGAATGCATAACAGTTACTAAATACACCAAAACGTACAAATGGTCCTTTGGCATCCATATAAACATATCTCCTATATTCGAGCCTGTGACTATCTCGTCCGCGGGCCAACTAGGAGACATTATAGTTTGTATACTCTGTTGCAGTTGTTTTAAACAAGGTTTCACACTTTTAACCTGCGAATAAGCATGGATAAGTATATAATTTGTATTCAGACAAATGTGTTAAGTAAAATATATTTATTATAAAACATATTGCTCACCTGTCCTGCCATCAAGTAATGACAAACTTGAAGTACCAAAAAATATACTTTTAAATATTCTTTTTGATGTGGACTACCCTGCCAGTTTTCTACATGATGCCCAGCTGTATTTAATAAGGGATGAACTTCTGTAAACTTTTTATCTATCAATAAAAGCATGCAGCGGCTCAATAAGAACAGGACCCTCGTGTAACTTGCATTGCTGATATGAGAATAATCAACGCCCACTGCAAGTAAACTGCTAGCTGCAACGAAATCTTTTTCTGATGCATGTATTTGCTGAAATGAAAATGAAAACATCAGTCTGTAAGATCGTTTAATATCGTATATGTTAGTTAGGATCATAGAACTCACTGCGAGTTGAAAAATAAGTCTACAATGCCAATATACATTGTGTTGGGAAAGTTCAATAGCTTTCCTCAGTATTGGTTTACTAAGATTTGGCTGTTGTTGCTGTTCGTGCAACTCCGCAACCACACTCGCTGCCTCGAATTTAACATCATCGAAAGTATTTATATTCTGACTCAGTCGCCACTGAAACGTAACGTGAACGTTAAAAACAAGCGTCTCCCACAGGACATATCATCTATAATTGTTTTAGGATATCGATGAACACACAAAACAATGTTTAATCACTCTGTACATCACGTTACCGACGGTACCAAAATAAAGAGGAAGGTTAGGATCAAGATAAACAGGTGCACGCAAATCGGCAGAAATCATACACTGACGATACAAATTAACATCGAAAACAGACTAAACATATGTGATTTGAATGCGAATAACAATTCAACTGACCGCTTGTTCTAAATGAGACCGCGCCAAATCGATGTTTTTGGTATGCGTAAGGAGGATGTTACCAAGTTGAAGATGAGTGCGGGCCTCGACCCTCGGGGGCGGTTTAAAATTGAAAACCGCTTGCAAACACTGTATGCACGATTTGATATTCGGCGGGCTCGAGGTCCGAAAGTTTTCTGCTAGCCCTAACAACGACAGATACCAAGCGTCCTGCGAAGACGCCATTTTGACATTTCACGGGTATAAAATCTTCAGCCGTGATAACACACACGGTCGGCCGCTTCCCACTGAGGATTCGGTCGGATCACCGTGCCACTTTCTCGACCCGCTCGAAAACTCAGCCACCGTCCGGATTTACAATTTCGCGGTGTCCCGTCGAATACGTTTCCCCTGGATACCGCTTATTGCGTAATGTTTACATACGTGTGGAACACGACATACATTCTACATTATTGCTTTTCACATCTTTTGTGCACATAGATAGAATACCGCTCGTCGAGCCGAATGATCGATATTTCGACAACAAGACGAATTTAGGCGGCCATCGACATTACTCATTTTAATGTTTTCGTGTAAAAAACCGCGGTGAACTATATATTATATTCTCGTTAGAATACAACTGAATACAACTGAAACAATACTCTAGGGTTATGTTTCCATGGAACATTTCCTAGGTGCCAGGGAATATAACTTCAATACGCGTCACGTGATTTTATCCACTTCCTGTTTCCTTCGTTCGATACGAACTTATATAAAATTTAACACTTTTCATCAATGCAAAATATTACAATTTCAGATGCAATAAAGTACACGCTCTTTCAGGAAATCTTATATTCTATATAATATCAAGTAAAAAAACCACAGTATTTATTTCAAACAATTTAAACGACTATAAAATTCTTATATACAATTCCACTCAATCTTCTCTAATATTGCGAACAGTGCCTTCGTACTTCAAAATATTATGTACGATCTGTCTATATACTTAAGGATGTATTGGCTATACAGTCAATTCCAAAAGTTTATGCACTTTAGAAACGCATTTTTTAAAAAGAAATTAGACGTCGGAAGAATATTGCTAATAATAAACAACAAAAAAAAATTTTCGATTTTTCCGAGATTTTTCCAAGGGGTATCCCTTCAATTTCTTCCAAATTTTCGTTTTTGGCCAATAACTCCTAAACCGTTGGATATACGGAAAAATTGTATATGACCTTTCTTGTAGAGGACGACGAGATCTACAATTTCCATGTAAAAATTTCTCGCTAGCGTCAATAGTTTACGAGTTATTTACGAAAAACGAAAAAACAGTTTTTTACAAATTACTCGTAAACTATTGACACTAGCGAAAAACTTTTATATGGAAATTGTAGATCTCGTCGTCCCCTACAAGAAAGGTCCTATGCAATTTTCTCGTATCTCCAAGAGTTTAGGAGTTATTGAGGAAAAATGAAATTTTTTGCCAAAAGTTCGCCGTTTCGACGCTGGGATGGTCGGATTTTGTCAACATCAATAACATGCCAAATAGTCATATGTAACTCGTTAAATATCGAAGTTAGAAAGAAAACAACTTTTATTTGAAGCACTTTTCGCAATTTTGAAAAAAAAAATTTTCGTCAGCATCAATACTTAATTGGATATTTCCTTCTATACTTTTTAACACGTAGCTATTTATTATTAGCATTATTCTTCCGACGTCTGATTTCTTTTTAATTATAGGAAATGCGTTTTTCTAAGGTACATAAACTTTTGGGATTGCCAATAACTGGGGATATAACCAATACATCCTTAATCGAACCAATGCAAATGAAAAAGCGCGAGCTTTAGTCTATTCGATGTCTAATTCGAACGGCTACACGTAGTCCGTGTCGCAATGCATGTAGGATATCCCCACCTGGAGGCAACACATCGGAGAAGTCTCGCTCCTCCGCCGTCCGAGTACCAGTCGCGATTTCAAATTATCCAGGACGAGGTGCGAGCTTTTTTTTCTCGTCGCGCGTGTTACCCACGACGGCGTGATGTGTCCCCGCGGTGCATTGCTTTTTTGTTGCTTGTTCCTGGTGCTGGCCGGGAGCCTGTGCGAGGAAAATGCCACCACGACAGAAGAGAACGCATTAGCGAAATTAGTCAAACTGTTCTCGAAACCCGGAGCGTTCAAACGAGTAAGATTCAATTATTTTTTCTCTCGCTTGTTTCTTCACAATTCGAGGCGCAGAATAAATTCGAAAAATTGCTAATATGAATCTGTTTAGAAGTCTTTATCTTTAAAAGCCTGAATAGAACCGGGACTTCTCGTTGCGTAACTAAAATTGTAATCGAATAGCATCCGTGCATACGCGATTCCAGGATAATTGTACATTTTACAATTACGACTATTACGTACGAGGTATTACGATTGAAAAATACAAATACTTCTTCAAATTTACTAATGCAATGAATAGCCTGTTTAAAACTCGATTTACAACTAAAGTGTTAATTCGAATCAGAAAGAACAGAAATGTTTTATCTTGGAACGTGATCTGTTCACTTTCAGATTAACGCAATACTCGGTGAAAATTCGATCGAGGAATCGTACACGTCCTGCCCGAAAGGCGAGGAGGGCCTCGAATGCAGAAGAGCCGAGGCCAGGCGCTCCGTCGATTGTCCTCAAGGTAATCGCGTTTTACGTACGCGCAAGGATTCCGAAATTTAACGCGCGTACTTACGCGGAATAAAGTTGTATTCTTCACATTCCGACGGTCGCTATTATGGAAAAACAAGACACTTTCCGCTTACAATAGAGACTCCGACCTTGACATAGCCACTCCCGCGCATTGTTTGCCCACGTTAAATGCACGTCGCACGCGAGAGAGTGTTAATCCACAAATTAGATTCATCGCTCGATCGTGCAAACTGTGTTTCTCGCTTTTTCACGGTTTGCCGTGTGCTTCACCTGGCGCAATAAATCACTTTCCCGCGAATGATGAACGTACCGGTTAAGAAATGGAACTGCTTTTACTTTGAGAAGTTGCACTCGCGCAAATAATTTCCAACAAGTTACAGTTAAGCGCATCGAAAACACGATTGCGCGGTTCGTATAAATAATACGAAAAAATTTCGAGATAATGAAATACCGTCTACGGTTCTAGACAATGCATTAGCTTTTTTAAACTGTCTTGCGAAACGCTCTTCGTAACGTGTATTTCACCGCAGCTGATCGTCTAATTATTTTAAGCAATGTAACATTAACCCTTCGCGGTTGAAGGCTCGATACCGGCTCGGTAGCACTTTCACTAATAACGACTTCAACATACATGCATAAGACTCGCGCTTTGTGTGCTTTATTAAAAGTAATCGAAACGTACATATAAGTATTGCGGCCACTCCCAGCCGCGCATTGTTTGCATATTATTACGAGAGAATATTGAGTCAATTGTTGAAGGCAGTCGCTTCCTAATCACCTAGAAGCGATAAATCACTTTTCCCTTAACGGTATTCACGCACTTTAGAAAAGTTTCTTTCAGGATGCGGGCATAATCTTAACCCCGTGCGAAAAAACTCGAATAGGCGCGCGAAGACACGCTTTCACTAAGGAGACATTTCATTTCCATTCCGTACGCTTATTTTTCATCGATAGTTACGATGCAGTAGGAATTGCTATAAAAATTGTCCACCTAATTTATCGTTTAATTAATCTTGAATAACACTTAACCAGTAGTAAAAATATTCTATTTCCATGACGATCTGAAGACGAGAAATCGATAGAGCGTTTACTTTTACTACGCGTGCCCTTGCACAATCCTTTTCTAAAGGGGAGCAACATCGAACGTAGCATCTTACGACCCTCCTTTCACTATTCATCAACCGGAGCAACGAGTAACGATAATTAACGATTAGATAAGTGAACCGTTACTACACGATGGGGCAAAATTGTTACTAATTTGGGTAAATTGGAGCATCGTAAAGGGAGGAAAAGAATACGTTCCCTCTAAGATAGAATATAAAGCGTCGATAGTGGTGTATCGGTTTTCATACGAAAAATACGCACGTACTGCGTATGCGACACGCGATACGGTTTGGCTATGTATATTTTTTCCCTTCATTCGCGTCACGCTTGTTTAAACGCAAGGAGTCAAGTGTCTTGTGATGCAAGCGCGTTACGCCGGTAACGGAATAGCGATGGATCGCATTCGAGATGAGGGAAAGAGCAGAAAATTCGAGATGCTCATAGCTCGATCCGATGCGAAGCATCGTCTGTACATATGCATATGGTTTAATAATTAATGACACGAATGATACGCGCACCTGTACGTTACGACGTTTTCGTTTCTTCCAGGTGACTGTTACTGCTACAATTGTGCAGCAGCTGGTCCCGAGTTGTGGGCCTCCTGTTGCCGTGAAAGCTTGCGGTGCTGTTCACATCTCGCGGCGGCTTGCAGGACTTGCGACCATCCAACGTTATTCCCGTTTTGCTCGAAACACTTTAAGAAATGTCTGAACGAAACGAACGAGAAGAAACAGAATTAACGATACCCGCGTCTCGATAAATCCTAATCTGAACGAACGAAAACGGGGCAACGGGTTGTCATAATCTGGCACTTTCTAAACTCTAAACTTTATAACAGAAATACCGAGAAGAGAGAGAGAGAGAGTAGTCCCTCGACGGATGATCTGTCGTGAACATTTTTATGATACGTTCCAGAGGTTCGCGAAATGAAGTTCTAATGGGAAACCATAAACGCGACGGGGAACAAGTTAAATAGATTTCCGTAAGTTAACTCGATCGCTAATCGTATCTTGCATAAGCTGAAAGTTTTACCGCCGAGTTTCTAAATATAGTCAGTTTTATCTTTCGACAAGCTGAACTGGTCCCCGTCTCATTTTTTGTTACTACGCATTTCGCACAAGATTAAACGAGACGCGATAAATCGTACCTGAAACCCGTGTAAAATTCGCGTGACTATTATTCTTTTGCGCGTTGAACAATGAGTTTGAGGGTGGCGAGAACGGATCCGGTCAGCGGAAGATCTGATTATTATTGATGTAACGACGTGTTCGTGTAAAAGAAGAAAATCAATAAAAAGTAAACAATAAGAACAGAAGGAAGCGTAGACGTTTGTAATGAGGAAATTCTTGAGTGTTCTTAGATCTATGTACAAACGCAGTAAAAAATTAGATACCACCTAAATACTAAACCATCGCAGGTCGTTTAATTGTACCTTAACGATTATCGAGAACGCGTTCGAGTTACTCAACGGGCAAGAAGTAACAGACGAATCGACGAGTTACAAAATTTACAGAATGGTTTCGTGCTTCGAGACCACTTGAAAACGCACGAAAAATGACACACGCTGTTGCGAGAAGAATGTTCGCTTCTCGATGTTCTCGTTTCTTTTCACATGTAACATTGAAAGCTGGCAACATTTCAAGAGCGTAAATAAATCACCACTTGGGATACAATCATTGATAAGCTTTATTCGTGTAGTCTCCAGAGTATTCGTTAAACCTGTACTTTTTAAAACTACTAATCCTATAAATTGTGGGGGCAGAGATTCGCGTCAGGTAGCCAGACTTAAAGATTACGGTAATACGAATTTAATTTCTTCTCTCTTTTTCGTTTTTCTCTCTTTGGACGTAAAATTTCCGCGATGCGCCTAAATACAAGCTTTCTTTTTATTTTTTTTTGTCTTTTGTTCATTCTGCGTCCCCACGAAATATCGGACCTCGTTTTCGTTACACAAGCGTCTCATTTCCTTTTTCTCCGAAATACCTTACATAGAATACTATTCCGCGACGTTCGAAGTTCTGTATTGCTTTAGCTACATCGAACTGAAACTTCGACTTGTTTTACTCTTTCCCCTCATTTTTCGTTTGTTTCATTCACACTACCGCCCAGCGTCAAGTTTCTGCAGCGAGCTTATTTTCCTTCTTTTTTTGAGTTTATTCTCCTTGTAGCAAAAAGAAAATTATGTTTTCCTCTTTTGTTTTCTCGTTTTCAGAGTATAAAATTATATTTTCGCACTTCTCCCTTGAGGAGTGCTTTCAGTTCTTAAATCAGCACCACGCAGAGGTGAAAGACAAGACTAGAAAGGAAGATAGGAAGAAACGTAGTTGCTCATCTTTTTTTCGCGTTATTCATTCTTACATGATTTTCTTTCTCGTAACCCTTGTTTCGCGTTATCACGTGAAAAAAATGCATTATGATTTCCTAACGGTTTCCCTTTTTTCGCGCAAGACTCTCAAGATCATTCTCACGCGAATTCGGCAGTCATAAGAGTGATGCACCGCGCACATATTCGCTTTATTCTTTTCTTAAATTAAACAACGTACAGCTTTGCCACGAAGAAAGGGAGGCTGGCGAGAAACGCGACTCTTTCATATGATGAAATAAAATAAACGTATTGTTTTTAATTCATCTTAATTTTGTTCAATCTTAAAAGACAAGGTACATACAATAAAAAAAAGTGCGCACGTTCAACAACTGATTCATAACATAAAATAATTAAATTAATATGCATTCTAAATTGTACATAATTCGTGTGCGTTAAAAGCACCACGCGGCTCCCTCCCTTCGCGTGATTATAAATTACGAATAAATCCCGCCTTCTTTCGTTTTCATTACTATTAGTTTTGATGTTGTCGTTCTGTTGCATTTCTTGCTTCGTTTCTTTTACGATTAGGAGGATGACAGCGGTAGCGCCCTGGCAATAATGTTACAGTTGACAATTTGATGACATTTAAACTTCGTTTTCTCTTACACAAAGAACACAGATCTTGATCTATTATGCGATCGATAGACTTATTACGGTGTACATGTATATCAAGTATGAGTTCAAAAATCTATCACGTAGTACAAAGAGAGATTGATTATGCTATTTTTAGTTTATTAACTTGTATCATATACCGAGAAATATCAAGACTACAGTTAACTATATATTTAGTGATTCGGAAAATTGTGACCAAGATCGGTTGGTTAGCCGGGTAATCAATGAAAAATCAGATTATTCAGAGTGGGGAGGAGTGGTAATAGAAATTGCTTGGGATGTGTGTGCCGGAGAGAATTAGCTTCGATCCTTTTCTTTCTTAGTTTTTTTTTTCTCCAAAAGGTGCAAATACGTGTTTTTGTCATTTTCGTTCACTTTTATCTGAAGAAAGGATTTCGTAAAAACTCGGCAATCCGCCACTCAATCGTTTTTTTTCTTCTTTTTCATTTTTTTCTCTCGGAAAAACTTCGGATACATACGACCTGTTTTTAAAATTCTTTAAATACTTTTACATCAACGATGACACATGAAATCAATCGCGCCTATCATCATAATTTACATCGTAACAGTCGACAAATTTTCTTTCTTACTTTTTTGTCCATTTTAAATATATACTCTTTTGTTTCACACCTTTTTCCTTATTTTTCCTTAAATACATCCTGCATCGAAATGGGCCTGAAGTATTATTTATCACGAAATGCTCACGAGTTTTGTGCGCGAATGACACTCGTGTCACCCTAGTTTTTTGTCTAAAAACATACTCATCCTTCGCCCCCTTGCATCGATAAGAAAAAAAAAGAAAATATTACTGTCACTCCCACATTCTTCCACTGACTGAATCCCTGATACGCACTTTCTTACAAAGATTCCTCATTTTTTTCCGGTTTTCCTTTCATACAATATTCCACGACTTTCTCTGTCTCTCGTCCATTCATTCTTTCTCTTTCTGGACTCTTTCTTTTTCTCTCACACGTACACCTTAAAAATACTCACAGTTTAAAGAAAATAAAGAGATATACACAGAGTACAGGTACCGCCGATGGTTGCAAAAATGATTCAAACCAGCGACAAAGGTCGTCTTAACTATACTATTATCAAGGGCCTAAAAAGATTCCACCTTCTCTTCATCTTTGTTGTTTTTTACGTCGCGTGATTTTGCGCGTACGCATTTTCTGATCTCTCTCATCACTGCTATTACTAATTAACCAATCATTTGTTTATAACCACGTAACACTTATTACTGTCCTTAGTGCCTTATAAATGTCCACTTGGTTCTTTATATATATATAATATATATAATGTAATAATTGAAGCAATTCATATTCATTCATGTGCGTCCAAGTTATTATGCACTATATACTCCAATTGATTGACAGTCACCTATTATTCTTATATAGTACTGTTTAAAAAGTAATTAACAGATGATAATCGAAGAGTAAGCCGATATTGATCGTAGAAGGAAAAATCTTTTTTGCTGATCGTTTCGGTTACTTTTATTTCCTCCGAAATCACCAGACAAAATAATTTTTTTTACGATAATTATCATTCGTGTATTATAACTGAAATCGTCGGTTCTCCGAGACGAGATGAGAACCTTCCGGATAACAATCATAATTCACACTCACACGAATCGATGCGTATTCACAAAACCGATGATTAAACTCTTCCCCATGTTCACAATTGATATAAGGAAGTACGGCCATGTCCCATTGTTTCGAGTTTGAGCTTCACTTTGTAAATAAAAAATACCAGGCGCTTAACGACTGGTATACACATAATATATATATGTATTTATATATCATCCTAAAAGGATCATGAAGATGTGGTTGTCACACTTTATCAAAAGATCCCCGTTGTTGTTTTTATTTACGTGTTACTCTTTCCTTCCATTAAAATGATGTCGTGGAAAACAAGAATACGAGTATCTTCGCTCCTCAATATTCTCTAACACAGCTCTGCGGTTTCACTTGTTCGCGTTCAATGGTCATTCTCTAAATGCGTCCGGTTACGTCTTCCAATTGTGTGGATGGGCCCGAGGTGGGGCCTGGTTGCCTTGCGCCTGCGACGCCTGCGGCGGGATCATGTCCAACAAGTATTGACGTTGGAGATCCGCTGCTTGCCGCTGCAATTCTGCGAGACCCTTGCCGCCGGCCTGCGCCATTGCAAGCTGGTACGGGTATAATATCGAGGTAAATGGTGGCATCATATGAGCTGGAAGAGGTTGATGTGGAGGCAGTCCCGGCACAGGATTTTTCGCCAGTTCTGAAAATAAAATTTCCTTACGTTTATTTTTAGATTTACGACACGTAGACGTAACATTAAAATGGTGAGCCTGTTCACGGTGGCAGAAGGATTTCATCAACATTTCCAGCGTATAATCTATTAATAGCTACTGCTAAACGTCCAGTTACCTCTGAGTAATTGCTGCTGCAAAGCAGCAGCAGCAGCGTGATGGGGGCTGAACTTCCCGCTCTCCGCCAATTTGACTAATGGATGATCCTGCAGTTTCGGCGCTGGTGGAACCTGCGGTGGAGTTGGAGCTAGCGTCGGTGCCGGTGGAACTTGAGGTGGAGGAGCCGGTGGCGTTGCCACTCTCCTCGTAGGAGTAGCTGCCTTAGGAACTGGTTTTGGAGCTGGGGGATCTGGACTCGCTGCTTGCGCCAACCTCTGTTCTATTTCCTGTTCCTGTTGCAGTGCTTTCACGAACGCTGTTTTTAACCTGAGAATTACGTAATCGTCGTGTTAATTACCATGATAAATAGAAACATTTATGTATCTGCAGAGCTGTTCATAGAATTCATAACATTTTTTAATAAATTACATACCGATTAGTATGCTCCGCTTTGAGAGCCTTCTTAACATTGGTCGTCACACAATGTTCACATATGACCCTAGGATCGCGACCTGCCGGAGGTCTTTGGAAAGTAGCGTGCTGCCCTCGTGGACTCTCTTTTTTCCCACCGGTAACAGGCTTCTCCCATTTCCATACAGGTGTGAAATCCGTTTTGCATTGGGTGCACTCGAACGGTTCCGGAGGCGGTGGAATAGCAGGTTCCTTCGTGATGAAATCAACCACGTGCTCAAGACCCACCAAATATATGAACTCAGTGTTAGATGGATTCGGTACGAAGTGCATTTCCGGTGGCGGAGGTTTCGGCGGTGGTATTTGTAACAAAGTCTTCTCTAGTTGTTTTCTCAAAGCCAATTTAGCAGCCGCCTGACGTTGCGCAGGTGTCTGATTATCATCTCTTGGTCTTTCCTGTATTTAGAGAAATAAAATACTTAAGCCCATATATATACATAAGAAATATATATATATGTACATTTGATTGTAACTGTTCTATAAAGTAAAATATTCATGTTAGGAGAAAAATGAAGATCGGACGGAAGAAAATGGAAGTGTAAGTGGGTTAGAGATAGATAACAAGTGACGTGGTTGTTAGGAAGGCAAAGAGAAAGTCGACGTGACATTTAATAAAGAATTAGACTGACAAGAGACTAAACGTATACTTTGACTAGTGGATGTACCTGCTCTGAAATCACAGGTGTGCTTAAGGATGCGGTGGTTTTATTTTCTTGAGATCCAAGCAGCTTTGTGTTTACAAAAACACAATTATGGTTATTTACAGTTCACAAATAATGTATACAAGTATTTGTAAGATATAACATATATACATAATGTGGAACACCATCTAAATGATATTCATTCGTACATGGAATGTGCATATAATATAAAAAGTATGTGACGTTTTATACCTTACTTACTTGATGCGCAGGTGTCGGTGTCGGATCTTTCGTGGACCTTTCAGTTCTGTCTGCTGGCGCGTGATAATTCGGTACGTTCGGCGTTGCACTAGGTGGCCTGCCTCTAGGGTGAGGTGGTTGCGGTATGACCATATTAGGTGGCATCCCGGTACTGGAAGTGGAACTTCGACCAACGGTGGGTGGTAGTAACATTCCAGGTGGTGGTGCGTGTAGACTACTGCTCCTGCTCGGTGGAGGTTGTCCTCTAAGTAAAGGTGGCGGTGCCTTTCCCAGTCTATGACTGTAAGCGAACAAAAATTGAATACAAAAATCCTCGCAAGATCGCGTTTCTACGCAGTAAGATCTAGTTAAAATTTACCTATGAGGAGCTTGTTGTATTGTAACCGGCGGGGGTAATTTACTGGGTACTTTGGGCACAGCAGCAATGTTCTCCTTCAACTGTTGGGACTGTCTCAGTTTCTTCAATAATACCAGTTTCATCTCCTCAGATCTAAGTTCCTCCCTTAATTTTCTAAGTGTCCTTTCACGTTCAGCCAATTCATCCGATGATAACTCCTTTATTGGAGGCAAAGGAGGCATATCACCTAGTAATGAAAAGTTGTTCATATTGTTAGGCAGAGCTTTGTGAGGAAGGAATGCATTAAATATACAATATTAAAGTTATAAATAAGTGTGTTATTTTTATGACTAACCTTCATCACTATCAGCATTCCCATTCACATAACCATTTATTCTACGTTCATCGGGAGTCTCGGCGTAACTTATTTCAATCCTAGGTCTAAGATTACGGCGCGTTTTCCTATCATCCCCAGACTTAGGGGCCAGGATGCCTCTTGCTGCATTTTGAATATTACGTGCTTCTGGCATGTTGCTGTCCGCATTAGGACTCGAAGAAAAGTGAACACCTAAATCTAATGGAACTCCTGCATCAGCAGAGTTAACAGTGATCGATGGAGAATTTCTCCTACCACTGCTGCTGAAACCATATATAACAAAATGACATTATTGTTAAAAATCAACCGCAATAAGACAAATAATAAAACACTAAATGACTTAAATAAATATAAATAGATAAATAAATAAATGGGAAAATAAAGGCTACTAAGCAAGGTAGTAGTTTTGGAAAAAGAGTTAAACTCCTTTTATGTAAGACTCTCTAGTTGGTATTATGATAAGAACTTCTTTAAAAGCTGATTATCTGTACTTATATTTTTGATAATTATAATGTGCAACAAGAATAGTTCTACTTCCTAGTCAGAGTGACGTAAACAATAGTAATTTTATATTGACACAGTTCGTCAGACATTCGTTTCTGCGCTACCGTAATTGAATATATTCAGAAACGAGATAAGATGAGGAAAAAATATCAACACTTTTAATTTACCTAACACTCAAGTCCACGACCGCATCCCCGTCCAAATCCATGGCTTCCATTCTCTCGAATACGGCGACTCTACAAAAACATTAATAACCACGATTTATCTGGCTCGTTTCGATTGGATCGATCTTAACAATAACGGCATACGACGAGTGCGTGCGCTAAGGGGGGAAAAAACACTACAAAGAAGCACTCCGCGGGCACTTATCTTTCCCGGTGCACGCGAGACAGAGCGTTTCACAATGCTGAGATTTGAAAAGCGGCAAGAAAGATTCAACGGTCGAAGAATAAAAATATACAGGATTACCAAGATCTCCGTACGGTCATCCCGGGTTTTCATGTGCACCGTAGCATCGTGCGTGCTCTTCCCTCTTTTTCAATTTCTCGTCAGCGATCTTGTTGCAAAGTTGCGGCGAGGGACGCGGATTCACGACGCACAGTGGCACAGGCACACACCGGTAACGCGATCGAATCGAATAGAAGTACGAAAAAAAAACGCGCGATAAAAAGAGATCGCGTTCGCCTCGCTCGCGACCCGATATCCACGGAAGCAGTGTCCTAACCTAACCTCCCGTGGAATTCAAAGACGTTCCAAGGAAGAATAATATGGTTCTCTGGGTTCGTAACACGAGGGGGATATTGGCGGGCTTTGCTCAGGCTGTCGGCAGCACGGCAGGCCGCGTGCCCGATCGCTTTCTCTCTTTCACGAATTTTCCGCGAGGAAGCAGCGGCACGGAATCGAAGAATCGAATTTGATACTTCGGAAGTGGCGTCTCGGCACAATGGCAGCTAAGCGTAGCGGTACAAGACCGTGGAAGGGGGGAGGGGTGCCCTGTACACCGAGGGGAGAGGTACGGTCGCACATTAATTATTTCTCCCCGCACCCCGTCGACGGTCCTCTACCCCCTACCACACGAGTCAGCCACTCACCCACACGAGCGGCATCGGAACGGGCTAGAAACCGATCTCTCTTTCTCTTTCCCTCTGTCTCCATCCCTTCCCACCTTTGTATCTCTGTCCTTCTCTATCTTTCTCTCTCTGCGGATTTTCCCGAATTTCGTCTCCGTACACTTCTCCCTTGCTCTCAACCCCTCCCGCACCCTTATGCCCTACGGGAAATCGATTTTTCGACGGAGTCCCCACTGCTGGCCTTCCCGGCCACAGGGACCAAGGAGTTGCAATGTTTTTGCAACGTATATTTGATATCGTCCACGCATCTCGTAATTGCTATTGTATCAAGAAACCGACCGCGACCTCTAGGTAATATGACTCTATTTACGCATACACTTTTTCTCGTATTTCGTTAACACCTAAGGAAACGCATCGCCGTCGGCTCGTTTCCGTAATCGACACAATTTTCTTGCTTTCAAATTACCGCTATCTGTCTCGCCGCGAACACGCTTTCAAGAGCATCCTAATGCGAAAGAATTTAACTAGTTCACGGGAGTTTCTCTCGGATCTCCCGCCTTACACACTTTCCAGATCACGTGACAGAGTAGGATCTCTAAACTCACGAATTGATGTCACAGCATTTTTCATTCGCGTTTCGTTTTCTGTACTGTATATACTACCGACAGAAGAACAACAAATGCTTGCAAGTAGCATATAATAATACCGGTATCTCTCTTTTTGTCACGTGACAGATAGCGATTATGTTTAACGTATGAACAATCAGATTTTTTGTAAAAATACCGGATTATTTATTAAACGAGCATCTTCAGTTGTTCTTCAAGTATATTTTGTTACATATGTCAAGCGAATTGAACGTAAAGTAAATACTCTGGAATTCTTGGAGGAAAGCGCGAATCCTAAAGCGACCTACGGCAATCTTCCCCATTTCTTCCTAACCTAATAAACGTACGTAACACCGTTATAATGAATCGGTAAGCCCTAATCTCATCATCAAGTAAATTACTCGAGCAAAAAGTAAGTAAAAATCCTGGAGATTTAATACAGAAATATGTAATATTTTTACCATTCTTGGCTGTGTTCGAAATGGGACCAAGACAGTTCGTAGTCGTCCGTAGAAAAAAATAGTACGAACTAACAAGCGTAATCGAAGATATCAATCCGACGTCCCGTGTTTTATCACTCGTGGAATGTTAATAAATTACAAAGTACGCATCTGACATCATGCTGAATCATCAACGAAAATACTGGGAGTCGTAGATCAAGCGAGAAAAAAGACGGAAGATCGGAAATCATTCGCTGGCGATTAATTAGGCATGCAATTGAAAATATCGGTGTCGAACGGGAGCCGCACACGAACGCTCGTTTGGCGACGTGTGACGCCAGCCTCGCGCGACACAAACGGGCGACACGCGACTCTCTTTATGTTTCCGCGTGCCCAACATATTTGCTACTACATTGATAATCGCACCTTCCCTGGAACGATGCACCGAGTGTTTTGACCCCCACACACGCCTACGCCTCCCGCGTTCAGGAAGGCACACGTACCTGAGAGCAGGTCAATCGAAAAGTTGGCCCGGATCCGTGTGAATCGCTTTGACATACAAGTCGCCGATTACATATAGGCAAAAGCGGACGAACGAACGAATCGGGCAGGCGGGCAACGTATGTAGACAGCGTACAGGCAGCGGATAATCAAGCCAAGACCAGGCACGCTGTTAGGCAGACAGTTAGGCAGGCAAGGCGGCCGGTCGGTCGCTTTCCACTCCACTTCACTCCACTCCACTACGATACGTATTACACTCTATACTATCGCTTACGTACAATGACATGGCGCACACCACATACCGCAGTCAGTGTACGCGTACACTTCGATTCCTCCGAGTATCCCTCCCAATCACGAGTACACTTCACCGCCTCGCGATCATGCACGCACGATTTCCGCATGTTTCCGTGAACCTATTTCGCGTGGCATAACCGCGTGCATCGTTCACACCGCCTGTCCCCTTGGCCGTCCGTCTGTGTGTCTCTCTCTCTGTCCGATCTGATTCCCAAAACAACACGGAATGAAAACAGTACACACAAGCTGCAGCACGGACTCGGTGGACGACGCGGTAGCAGCGTTGCACCGCGAGAACGGACCGCCGCGATCGCGAGTACCAGACACAACCTTGAGGCTGCTACCTTCCGCGGAACGAGAAAAAATTCACGCCGCCTCTGCGCAAAAATTAACGAGAGTGATTCAATATGGCGGCCTTGTCCGCCCGTTGATGTCTTCCCCTCCTCCATCGCTCGTTTCGCCGGGCATCGTCGCCGTCGTCACTCCCCTGCCCCTGTCCCTGTCTCCGTCTCCGCATCGGAGGTGTAACGCCGTGTTGAAGGGGGCGACGGAGCGGAGGGGCTCGGCTGGTTCGCTAGACCGTCGCCGGGGAGAGAGAAGGAGCGAAGTAGACAGTGGATCTCGTCGCCCCCGTTGGCCCCCGGTTATCGTTTGTCGGGAAAGCGCCGCCAGCTACGGGGCTTACCGGAAGCACCCCACGGACTTTGTAAATGCGCTACGAAAGGGCTTGACAGTCGTCTAAACAAATCCACGTGCTTCTGCGCATTCCCTTCTCTTTTGAATCTGCATCGGTAACCGCCAATCGGGCGACGGTCACCACATATTGGAGGGCGTTTTAAATCGAACCGCTTCCAATTCCAATCTGACCGATCGCGGACTCCGAATTTATACTACCTTCTTTTTTAATAAAAAATGATGTAGGTCACCAAATCTAAAGATTTTGTAAATTAGAACACTTCTGTTTAACGACACAGAAGAGAGATTACTAAAGAGTGGCATGTCGCACGAAAAAGTCGGCAAAATTTGATAATTAAAGGAATAAGAAATAGAAAACAAGACACTCGTCGATGCTGAACAAATGCCAGATACGAGAAAGGTCCTATGCAATTTTTTTCGAACTCCACCGAAAAGAGCAAACACCGACTGTGTTTTGAGGCCCCATTCGCTGTCCCAGCGATTACACGGGAAAACCATTCTTTAATAATATGTCCTTGGTGATAACGATAAATCATGTGACTGCGAGAAATAAAAATATCAGTTCAGATCAGAAGTCTTGAGAAGAATGGATTCTTAAGAGAAATATTTTTGATTATTGTAAATGATCGTTCTAAATAACTTGGGCCTAATAAGCAGAATAAAGATTGTGATAAGGATCTGGAGAGGTATAGAAACAGTCGAGGTCCTGTTTATGCCATGCACAATTTATTAATTGATTGATACATTTTTAAAAATTGATATTTGCGAAAACATTTGATTTCTATAATCGAAGAAGTAGTGTAAAAATCATAGACCGGCGTACAATTCTACGGGATGTTGGAGTTCAAAGAATACTGATTCTCATTTTTCTTTTTACACTCTTTGACAATGTGTCAACGATTTTGCATGTCACAAATGCTCGTCCGGGGGTTACGTTTGTCTATATACAAAAGAAAAAAATCACGAGTAATAACAGAATCGGAGAATCGTATAACAATTGTAGACAATTACGATATAGCTACGTTACAATAATCGATTCCCATCGTTCGCGACGTGACGTTCCCACAATTCGTTTCCGGTCCCCGATCTTCCAAGTACAATTTGTATTTCTCCGAATCTTACTTCTTTGGATTGAAAATATTACTGGACAGGAAGTCCTGTCGCGAACGATGGGAAAAGCCGGCGTCGTAATTGGCCGTAAAATACAACAGGCGTAGTAGACAAGATAATTTATAAATACACGTGTCTCGCCGCAATAGGTTGCAAGCAGATCGGAAAAATCGTAGTTTTAAAAGGAACGTACCATACGCTTGCTATCCGCGTGGACATAATCGTTCTACATCGCTCACAAAGGGAGTCGAGCATACACACGGGCAACCAACAATTTACCTTCCTATCAGCTTCAAAAAATCTAATAAAAAAATGATAAAATTCAAGAACACTAATAACAATGAAATATATTTCTCCAAAAATAAATAGTTTTCACTTATCTAACACATACGTTTGTATACTTCTCCAAATAAATGATATTTGCTTCTTGAAAAGAAAGAAGGCTGCACATGAGCGTAAACTTCTAAGTACAGTTAAATCTGATTGTTCCGGATGCCCGCGTGTTCATGTGCACCTACTTGGAAATTTCACCGAAACTGATGGCGAAACAGATAATACATTGAACATAGTTTACGTTCGCAAAATACGTGCGTGCGCGTGCATTTTAATATCCGTTTAGCTATATACATATTGAAACGTGTGTCGATCTTTCCGTTGTCCATTAATTCCAGTCTGCCACCGAGCCGATCGCACGAAGAAGAGAATGTCTTAAAATCAGGTACCACGTTGAATCACCGACGGGTGTACAGTCGGCTTCGCGAACATTCCTGGCGCACACATAACACGTAGATATGCACGCATCGATAAATCGTAATGACTCCGTATTAACACTAGAATTACTCAAGTAAGTAAAAAGAGTTCATTAATTCTCATAGAAATTCGATAGATACGTTGTGATCGACTTACGGTCCTCTGTGAAACAGGTGACTCTTGACGATGTTATCTTCTCGCAAAAGTAACCGAAACACATGAGACAGTCCTGTTTACTTGTTTTTTCTTTTTTCATACGAAATCCAACGAAAACGAGTTATCGCGTGTCAAAAACGGGAATATTGGACCGTGAAAGATCGAAGGCAGTAAATTTTTGTTCCTTACGCAACGTCAGCGATAAAATGTTGCAACCGTCCCGGTGAGTAATAACGCATCGAATCGGGGTTCAACGAACTGGCCGAATCGAAAATCCGCTTGGCTAGATTGAGATCGATTTCGAGTCTTATACACGCTTTTCTCTTTTTCCGGCATTCGATTCACTTTTCACGCGGCGTTCCATTAAGCTCTCTCGCTGCCAAAACGAGCGGTCTCGCAACGGTTCGCAATTACATTAGGAAACGCCCAACAAGCTCGAGGAATATCGAGAAATACGTTTACTGGATTTCCCTCCGCGCGTAGCACTTAAAATCCATCCATAATTGGTTCGACGCATTGGTTGCGAGTATTCTGCCATAAGCGAATAACGCTTGTTGCTGTACGATGTCAGCTCTCTGAGCATTAAAACAGAACGCGATGGAACAATCCTTTAGGATTTTAAATTCATTCAAATATCTTTTCGATCACAGAGAAACATCGACGTTTGCGACGGTTCCGATCTCGCAAAATCGATTCTACAATCGATCAACCGAATAAAATATGATTAACATTCCCTCAAGAACTGAGAGAATCTATTCACACACGCACGCACGCATATTACATACCGTTCGTTAAGCTTTGTCGACGTCAAGTACAATAACTTGGAAAAACAACGCGGTATAAGTATGTATATATTAATACGAAGAGATACATATTTCTTTTACGCGATGATTGGTTCTTTTTTAGACGAGAACTCGCGACGAATCGCAAGCACAATAAATGACTTTCTTCGTTTTTCATTCCCCAAATCCTCGGTCCTTTGCGCTTTAAGCCTTCCTGGATTTTCGCGTCAGCGCGAATTTAAGCGTTTGTTTCGCGTCGCGTTTAGCTCACTGTCCGGGGATCACACGTTGTCACACTCTATGAATTTCCTAAACATTACCTAGATTCGATCTTAAATTGATATCACAAAAAAGATAGTCGTTAGGAAAACTGATGTCATTTAGAAAAACGACGAGTTTCAACGGAAAGTTAAAAATATACCCAGAGAAGAAACAGACGACTGTACCACGCGCGTGTGGCGTTTCCTTTTTCTTTATCGGCATTGAGATTCTAAAAGAAAATCATCGAACAGATGCACGTAGACACTGGACATCGCTTTTTTCGAAAAACGAAAAAAAGACATTGATGTACTCGTCCCCCTAACGCGTTGCAACATCGAGTCCTCGCTTATTAAATGCAAAATCCATCGAAACACTATTCACCTATACAGATGTACGTATGTACGTTGTAACTATACGTATACATATATGAACGTTCATCTTTGAAAAGTCGAGATCGGCTGGGATGAAAGCCGAGATTCTCGAAGAACTGTTATCGTTTTTCCACGTGCATTGTTGTTCATCTCTTCTGTTATACACGTGTTCGTTCCCCTGTTATTTATCATAGTGTGTCGTGCTAAGAGAGAAACTTCGAAGTGCACTAATGGGTTTTTGAAACACGTTGTGCCTACGACGACTAAAAAAGTGTGTGCATAACGTGTGACAGAGACTTTTATCAATCATGGTAACCATTGTGTGTTTACGTATTTCGGGCTGTTCCCCTATTATTTGTCAAGAACAGAGTCCGCGACTTAACACTGGTAAACTGGCATGCGATGAACGTGCTCGCAATTGCACAACGGACCGTGTACGTATTGCACTGTTAGAAAACCACAGCGGCGCGCGACGCGATTAAAATATTTAACCACAACGGAATCGAACAGCACACGTGCGTTAAGCGCGTGCCGCGAGGAAGAATTATTAAAATTATACTGGCACGCGAAACACGACGAAAGCGAGTATAATTTATTTACTATCCTATGCGGGATGGTGAAATTAAGTATTACCGTAGAACAGAGAAACAAGTCCGTCAGAAATGCAGATTTTTCATCGACGCGAATATTGCACGAGGGGTATCTCGAGTTGTCTATCCAACGGAGATAAAAACTAAGCGCTACTTTATAGTACACGATTAAACTATGCTTCGTCTCCTTAAAACATGGAACACTGACGCGATATACATACGTATGTATATACCGAGGAGCAAGCTAGTTCGCAAGAACGAAACCGTTTGAGTATACCTGTTTGAAAAGCATTATGACGCTGGTTCGTTAACACGAAACGACCTCAACCGATTTATTTTTTCCCTTGGAATAATACGTCCGAAGTTGAACGACAGCGTCGGAGAAATGCATTACACGACGCGAGGCGATAATTTGATACTTCACTGAAAAATTCTCCGAGCGTTACGCGGTAATAACATGTCGAACGCGTCGAGATAACGTTATCCCATCGGCGGAGAATCTTCCGCGCGCATTCCATTGGAATATTGTTGATCGTGACTCACTAATCGTTGTTACGATTTCAATCCTCAACCGGGAAAAACGGTCCTGCATCCGAGAACGTGGAAATCTAATCGTCCTTCGGCATGAGATACGACCGTTTAACATTGATCGAAGTTTTCGAAAAATTCCGATTCAACAAACAACGATGCCCATGACTAAAAGTCTGTGACCGTACGCTGGTTCTTTGTCTTTTGGTATATTATACACGAACGCACACGCGTCTCTAGAGCTAGGACTTCCGCTTAAACCGTGAACGAATATTAAACACTATAAGACATCCATTTTGGGCCCGGTCATGTTTCATTTTATTATTTATTTTTTTTTGTTCTTCGCGAATGCTTTCCGTTTTTGTTCATGTGGAAGATATCAGGTATCATCTTGCGTTTCGACGATAAAAAATAGCTTGCTCGCGTTTGCTATCTCTGCTCTTAAACTTATATACATTATCTAACGCAGTTTTGGTAAATACCCTTCGGAATACGCACTTCTTCTACCTTTCGTTCGTATTGTCCGTCGATTGTTGGACAGCGCGGTCTCATAAATGAACCTGTCGAATGGTTTCTTTACTCCTTTCAGTTAAATACACGAAGGTACTAAAATAATCGAGAACATACATATCAACTTTATATAAATTATTCAACCCGCATTTCAGACCTTCCGATCGAGACTGTCGCGTTTTCGTTCATCGTTTCTATCTACAATACGCGTCTGAACGATTCCCATACCCGCAATGCTCAGTTTCTTTCACGATTCCACGAAATTTCGCGGAACCATCCTCTCCAATTCGCGTTTTCATGCCGCCACGTTTCATCCTTTTCGATTGGAATGGATTATATACTTGTAAAGTATATTATGTATATGTATATATATACAGATATAGATAGATAGATATATGTATATGCACGAAAAAAACATTGCTGGTGCTGTATCTGAAAAGCGTTTTGCAATCCCATGAAACAGAACGAATCAACGAACGAACTACATCGAACTGAATGCTTCTCTTGTTCGTGTGAGTGGTTTATTCGTAATGCCGGCTCCGTTCTATCACCGCTGTAAAATATTTCTTTCTTCTCTCGTTTAGGAACTTATAATACTACTCGTGGCGAAACAACGTCCTGACTTTAATCCCGAGGGTCGCGTTGGTCCAACGAAGCCAGGGGTTCTTACGATTTCCATACAATCTCTTTTGCGTAATTTCGAATATGTTTGATGGAAATGCACGTACATACGTGTAGATTGGATAGATCGTTAGATCTGTCTCTTGTAACACTACCGCCAGGTCTCTGCCAGATTTTACAAGCTGGAGAACCAATTAGACAACGGCTATCCCTTGCTTCAAGATACTAAATTAACTATACACGTAATCTGTTACGGTACCATGTAATTATTATTTTCTCGCAGCTTCTCGAGTGGAATGTCGGGTTGGCTTAAGTAACGTTCTAGTTCACTATGTTACAGCTTTCCGATTATTCGAAGGAACGCAAACTCTCGAAGAACCCCGTCGTTGAAGACAGTTATGTATGTGTTTCCCTTGGTCATATGTTTATCTAGACCCAAGCGAAGTATTTTGAAACTACATGGAATACGTCAAGACGGTAACCACTGCAATAGTTAGACCGGGCTATCTCGTCGAAGGACAGTTCCCACCTGTCAATTAATAGTCATACACGCGACGAACGTTTTCGCACAACAGATCTTCCAAAAGCACTTCTAAACAGTTTGTTTTCTTCATTTGTTGTAGGAATTGCATGTCTCGCATAGTTTTCCTGATACACGCAGGTTCTCGTCTTCCTTCTATTAACTGTAACCCCCCTTTTGTTATTTCTTTAACATCCTATGTATGTATTTGTATTTCTCCTTAACGCACGCTTGTTTCCTACTCTCTCGCCACCTTCCCTCGAGCACCCTTTCTAAGATTTTATATTTTATCACAGATGTTTTGTCCTCTCGATTTTAACGCCACCCCTTATTTATATGCGTAGCCCACTCGGTATTAATTATCAGCGAAATTATTCGCCTTGTCATCGCTCCCTATGCTCTTCCCGTTCATCATTTCTCTATAACTTCGTCCCTCTTCGTATGTTTCTCTCGCTAAGCCGAAACGATATTATGATCACAGCTCTCGATCTTGCCATTTACGCGCAAGAATACACGGTTCACACTAAGGCCTGCCTTAGTACAAAAATATACATTCGCTTCTTAAAAAATAGATCTTAACATTCTGTACTGGCTAGCGTTCGTTTGATATTTTACTTACAGTCATTTTGATTCTTGGCAGGCTGTCTTAAAGATTAGTATTTTATCGGCTAACGAGAACCTCCGAGTCGAGTGAGCTTTCTCGTTTTTTCTTTTTTTTTCGTTTTATCTTTTTTCTACGGTTTCTCTTCACGGGGCGCTTATCCCATCTAAACGCTAGCTGGTGCACCATCCCTTATTAATTTGTTTTTGTTCTCTAAGCGACTCGCATATTCATAAATTCGGTGTTCGCGTGGCATCAATCAGGGGCGAATCGACGAGGGCCGCGATCTAAGACGGAAAGCGAAGACCATCGAAAAGGATACAACATTCGAGACAAGCGATTATACATATGGTATGTATGTATGTAGGTACAATTAGCAACATCGATGTGAACAATTCGTTAAAAGATGCGATTCGCGAACGATGCTTTCCGTTTAGTCGGTGTCGTCCTTGTTTTTATGAATATGAGAGGTCGGACACGGCGAAACGTGCGGACCGCCTAACTGTTGGCTATAATACCTTTATCGGTAGGTTCAGTCTTATGCTTGGTTTGTCGTTCAAGCGATTTATAATCGATATACATATAATGCTTGGTAATTGGGCTTGTGTCCGTTGGGTTAAGCGACCGCACGCGTCCTTTTTCTTTTTAATTATTAGTTTTTCATTTTCTACGCGCGACTTTGTACACAGGACTTCGCAGAGATGGTTACTACGTATCACCTGACATTTTGTCTGTTTTGTTGCTATTCAACTTGTTTGGATATTATTCTCGTTCTCACGCATCTTTCATTTTAATCCCCGTTTCTCTTTCATACGTTTTATCATCATCTCGCAACGATCATATTACACGTTCTTTCATACTGTTCGCTCTTGTTCTCTTGCTCTCTCTCTCTCTCGCTCTCTCAAGACTCACACGCCGGGCACCGTGCGCCCGCGAGTATACTGTTATTTTTTTAATGCGGGACTTCATTCGATTTAAAAAAATAATAATAAAAACGACAAAAAAATAGACGAGGAGAGATTTTTAAAAAAAGAAAAAAGAAAATAAACTTGATAAATAACATCTGGCCCGTTCGCACAGCATCAGTTGGTCGGCGAACAAATAAGTGTTCGCATATTTGTTTTCCTCGTTTTCTTTATATGTAGCAACGAATAACCGTCGGATCCGTTTTGTAAAGAATTTGCTGACCTAAAAAAATACGCGCGCACGGAATACGAAATGAAAGGGCACGAGCATACCTTAACTGTCGGTCATTTTTTCGCGTGAAACATGTAGGTGTTCCCGAAGCGAATCGCCGAAAAAATGTCAATTAAGGTGTCTACGATTATTTTCTTTAAACTGGTGGCTGTCGCGTGTCAGATTTCTTTCGGCAAATTTATTCTTACCGCGACTCAGGTACTTGTTAAGGCCCGTTCATCTTGTATAACAGTGTTTTTTCTTTTTCTTTTTTTAAATCGTTTAAAGATGTGTTCTCCTCGTATTTTGTGCCTAGCTCACAATCGGACCATTGCTTTCCTTATTTTGTCTCTTGAATAAACAGTTATACATTGTTCTTAAATCTTCCTTTCTCTCGTTTCCTTCCTCTTCATTTAAATTCGGGCGCAACTCCGCAATTTTTTGCGCGTGTCCAAATATTTTTCAAACGCATGATTATATATGTACAGAACCACATATAAAAAACAATGGTATACGTTGACTACAAGTACGATATACACGACGATATAATAATTATACAAGGGCTCGAAAAAACGTAAATAATCTTTCAGAATAATAGACTGTTGTTTTGTTGTTACTGTTTTGGTATTTTTCTTTGCGTTGTAGATCGTTTCCATTCTTTTTCATTTTTTTTTCATTTTTTTTTAATCAGTTTAAACGTTTTCGAAATCGTCATTTTAATCGCACGACAGAAATAGATGCATCCGGCATCCGGATATTAACGTTTAAAGTTCGATAGATAATACAGATATTACATACATATACACATACACGATTAGCTACTAATTCCTCTGATTTGTTTTTATAGATTATCTATAATTGTGTTCGTTTTCAGCGGTCGCTAAGAGCACGGTGAGGAGACGGTACTCACAAAAAACATTTAACATCGATGCCCCTTTTTCTAGTTTATGTCTAACAACACGACACAAAATCATGCGTGTTTTGATGCGTGTCTGTTCAACTACATTACGTACCACCGCATCGACCGCACTCTTCTCAGCACACGTTGATTTAGTATTTTATACAAAAGCGTCCGATTGGTTTTGGTATTAAAAATAACCTCGGAACGCTGTTTCGAGTTCTTACTTGTGAGTGCATCACTTTTACGCTTTCTTTATTATTTGTGCAACTCGACCGCGAACTCTCTTTCACGAAGCGTATCTCAGCGTTCTTCTTTTCTCACATTGCATGCTCTTGGCGCTCGCCTCGATCTAAATTTTCCATACAATTGGAAAAATATCTGTTAACAGATTTTTCTACTTACATACATTTGGAATTTTCGTTACGCTTTCCAGTGGAACATCGTGAGAGTGGCCCTTTCTCTCTTTTGAGTGTCATTCCTCTTCCTCTCTTTCTTTCTTCGCTCGCTAACTCTTGCGTTTCGTGCGATGATCGGCCTCTCATTCGTACCAGTGTACCGCTTATACATCCTTAGAAACCAGCTTTCTTGTAATATCGACATAATGTCACGTTGAAGGTCCGCTTTAGTGTGACCCCGATCGTCTTCTAATGCTCCATTCTTGTCTATCAAGAATATTGTTATATTCATATATTATACACTCTTCTTCTTTCTCTTTCCGTCGATGAGAGGGAACGATCACGGGTTTCTATATTGCTCTTATTTTGATCGTTTCTCGTTTTCGAGACCACCAATGTTAGCGGTAACACGTGACCGTGTCACGGATGGTTTTTCATCCAAAAAACCAACAAAAAAAATCTATATATTCCCCCTTTCAATAATCAAAAACACAGGTGTTTCTTACTCAACTTGGGTATCAGATCACGGACTCAAGAAAGACAGTGGTTATCTATGGCATGACATGTTCTCGTGAAAACCGACAAAAATTATCGTAAAGGAGAACGTTGTGTGCGTTTTATACCTTCGGTGTTGTTTCTTTACACACGAGAACTGTGTGATTCTTACCTAACAGGCATCTCTCAATTAATGACTTCAAAGCTACGAATTTAACACTCGTCCGCTGTATGATGTTCCAGCCGTGTTGTGTTTTCATAAAAACAATTCTTATAGAAAAATAAAGAATATAACTTTATAACTTTACTTCTGAGAATGTAGCTCGCCCAGCAACTGTTGATGATGTCAATCGGTAAAGTACGGTGTTGGTAGAGCGATCTTTCCTTGACATAGTGAAAAATTACTTTTGGTCGCGGAGGACCAACGGCATGATCACTTCTCTGCTGTCACCGCCAAAGGGATCTTTCACAACTGCAGGCAACTCCGCATCGCTTAGTGGTTTCCATCGGCGTCCCATTATTTCTTGTATCTCCTGGATTAATTTAAAAGATATTTTAGAGATTTCTGACATTTTCTTTTTCGTTAGTTTAATATCAATACTGAAACGTACGTGTGTGATGCTTTCAGCCTTATGCCAAGATTCACTATCAGACACAATGAATCTTTGCGCGAACACTAACGACTTAAGCGAGTTTCCACGTAGGCGTGCTATGGCTAATAAGTTCTCTTCTTGATATTTGTGGCCTAGATATACAATCTCCACAAGTTTGGTGCACTTCCACGCAATCAATATTAACGGATCAGGGCTGCAGAAAGTAGCGAATCTACTTATTAATAAAGAAACTAAAATTTTACGACGATTTTAAATAATGTTTCATACCTGTGATGATTTGGTTCGTCCGGAATAATTCTCGTTAACGGGTCCATCGAATCGATCCAAATTACAGATTTTAAACAATGTGAATACCAAATGGGTAACCGATGCAACGCTCCGATATTAACGTTCTCACAGAATAATACTTTTAGATGTGTAAGAGGCATGGAAGGGCAAAATATATGTGTATCTATAATTTCAACGCCGACGTAAGAGTGTATAAGAGTTAGTCGTAACTCGCATTTCGGACTGAAAATGAAGAGAGTCCCAGTCAGCAGACCGTCATGATACTTCGTTACAGTTAAGTTAAGTTACTTACTTCTTCTGGACAAATGTTCGCCAAGCACCGTCAGTTGTTCCTACATGCTGATCGTACCAACCATGCACATGAATCACAAGCCTTTCCAAGGTACCGCTGTCCAATGCTTTTAGCAGAGAATCACTTACGAATTCGTAATCAATCGTTAAAAGAGATAATCTGGTAAACGAGTTGAACATATCCTCGCAACCAAATTTGAAGAAATTATGATCATCTGGATCATCCCTAACTGATGCCAAACTGAGTGTTGTCAAGTGCTTGGCGTGGCGTTTATGCAAGTGTAGAAGAATGAGATTGGCACTGGTTGCTAGATCTTCTATGCATCCCAAGCTAAGGGCTTCCAAATGATCGGTTGTGTTAATAACTTTTATAATAGACGATACCAATGCTCCCGTGTATTTTTCACTGTCTTCATATTCAAAATTACTACTGCTAGATTCCAAGAACAATTTACGAAGTTGCCTATTGTATTCCAACTTTTCCAAGAGAGCTAATATTTCTTCCGCACAATAATTTGGTGTACCACACATGATTGTAACTTCTTGCACGCTGAGTCCAAAACTATCTGCCAAGCATCTGTAAGGAAAATGAAATCAATTAGGAAGTTGATCAATAGATTTTGTAAATGGTCATATAAGATATTTTACATACCGAGTCCATGCTACACTGTCTTCATCACGTAGATAGAATGTGATCTTTTTCCAAAAGTGAGGATGAAAGAAAGCATACCTCCAATTTCTACATACCTGAAAGTTAGAAAATTACTTTTAAAAAATGAATATTTTAAATAATTACGATTTACGCTTCACATATTCACACGACCAAATGCTACAATATAGAGATAATAGAAATGAAGATGAAATAATAGAGGGGTTAAAACATCGACTGTCAGAAAAACAGGTATCCGGAAGATAAACGGCAGAAAAATAAGGTAATAGGCAAAACGGTTCCAAATAAACAGTAAATATATACCGCAGAATGAAAAAAATAACGAGTCACGAACGCGAGGACTTTGATTACCCACAGTGTCGGGTCGAGATTTAAACGGCCTTGAGAGGCCTTGAAAAAACTTCAAGAATACCTGGGAGGCTCTCAACCGGCAGTCGTAGGGCAAATATGAGAATATTTCCTGTAGTATGATGCTGGGCAGGTTGTTCCAGCACAGATTATTGTCCTCTTGCGCCATTTCTGTCGTACGATTTGCACCTTTGTAGGACGAGGAACAGCTGTTTGCCTTTACCGAAGACAGCTGCCCCTCGCACTTTTTTGACATCGCCTTCTCCGTCCCGTCACTCTCCGTCGGGCCTTTTAACTGGTCCAAATACACGATGTCCCCATTCTCAGCGTGTATCATGTTTAATCTGTATGTGCGGCGAGCTATATCCTGGGAAATCCTCCGGACTCGGCCACTGTTTCTTCGTGGTGAGCCTCCTCCACGAATCAAAATAAGAGCTTGACGTGTATTGCGCTCTACCCGTAACTACCGACCACTCCAACTGCCATTCGCGATGTACATTTTGTACGCATGGTACGCGTCAAATCCGCGGCTTCAATTGGTCGAACGTCCACGCATGTCAGCTCTGCGTGCCTCGTAACGTAACATTTTGATGAAACATAAGCGAAAATTGTTCTACAGTGCAACGACGCAAAATTGCGAATTCTAGATTAAACAGAATTATCAGTTTCATTCAACATTAAGAACCATCAGTTCTTCACGGAGTGACAAATTTCATGATGTGATCTTTTCCTCTCTAACATCATTTAATTATAATTATACTGTCTGAATATAATTAATGCAGATACATACAATAATGTTTTGAAGTTTGTTCACAATATCGCACCGTAACGTATCGCACAATACTTAAATAATTGCGATCATGAAGAATAAGTGTATAATTAAGTATAAACATTATCGCGTAAACGCTGTTGATACATTATTGACATATATATGTATATAATACATGTTCGTGTATACAGGAAAAATTAATAATTGTAAAAAATTTCTGCAATTTAAAAACCCGTTATCGCAACCTCGTATATGTATTTAAAGCCACAGTAAAGATATACGATACGTAAATTTTATTGTTGCAGATAACATTCGTGACTTCGTCATTTGACAAACCAGTGAACGTTCAAAATAAGTATCGTGAACCTACACACTGTGTTTCAAGTGAAACGGAAAATATGTAAAGAAGAGAAAATTTTCTCTCTGATATACATACATATATTCGATCAAATATACTGTATATCTAAGTGAATATTTGTTGATATTCTGGGATCTATATTTAACCATCGCATGTAAATGCGATTCCGGTCTTTAACATATATACATGGATGCCGCGAAATAATAGTCGAAGTTAAAACGAGCATGAGACGTTAGTCGCATATAAGCCGGGTCAACATGGAACCCGAGATTAAACGTGAATGCATAGTGCTGCGCTGTTTTCCTTCTTAGAATTTGATTTTACAAATGACACGGAACAATGACACGCTCGAAGATCCAGATGATAAAAGTTTTCGTATTTCTGTTGATCTTCCTATTAGAACAGAGCGCAGTATGCACTGGAAGTTTTAGGATAAACAGAGCCGTACCTGAAACAACATCGGTAAACAAAAGTGTCGCTGAGACCGCGAAGAATGATACAGCACACGTTTCATTGAATGCGCAAAAGAAACCGCAACAAAGTGCAATATTACATGGCGACAAAACGACGATCCTCGAGGGTAATGATAAGTCCGTGGACAATGTAACCTCAAAACAAATAGACGTTAACAAAACTGCACAAAGCACAGACACGCAAAAGAAGGTTAGTTGAGGATGGGAGGATTTGAATTTTTACGAGCTTGTTCCTTTTTCAATTTCGCGATATACTTAACGAAAGAGAAAAATGAGTATGATTTCATTTATCTACGTATTAAATGGAATTTTGTGTGTGTGAATCAGTGTGAGTGAGTGAGGAAAAGTTCTCTTACTAAATGATTAATAATGTGAATTTTCAACAGCATGTGGGTGAAGAACATGCGACTTCTTTAAACGCTGGAGCTCTAAAGCGTGGTTTTTATGTGTTTGTGGGGCTAAGTGTTCTTGTCATGGCCTATATCGTGTTCCGTAGCTTTAGGTACTTAGCATTTATTATAAGATCGAACTTTTTCCTTGGCAAACTTAAGATGCTTTTGAAGCTGATATTTGCATGTAAATTGGTAATGTAATTATGAGCTGTATCTCTTATTTTGTGTTTTATCATAGGTTCAATAAAACACGTGCCCAAATGGTCAGAAAGTATGGTGTTCTTGCACACAGACAAGACGTTGAGATGAGACCATTACCACTGGATGAGGAAGACGACGAGGATACAACTGTCTTTGATGCCAGTAACGTTTTAACGAATAATGTTCAACATCAAAATTTATAAAAATAATCAGCAGAATGCTGAGCACTGTTTCCCATAAATTTTGATTCATGTAAACAGATTTGTCCTCAATGTGATGATTTGAATTTAACAATTCAAAGTGTTATCGCAAACATTGGGTTTGGTATTTTTCATATGAACTTGCTTACTTGTGTCCGTGACATTTTTACATCATGTATGCATTCCAAATTTATGCTTTCTGATGATAGGTATTGTCAAATGAAAATGAGATGTTCTTATGAGACTTCTCAGACTTCTTAACTTAAATAAGTGATAACAAAAGGACTTTGAGTATCTGTCGTTTATAAAAGAATAAATGATGGGTATCTATATCTACTACTATACATACTATATTTTAATTAAACTGTGTTGTTATCATTGAAGATTATACAAATACAGATTGTCTCTATTTTATTTAACGCTACAAGTTTAATAAAGTATTATGTATAAAATAATATTTATGTGCTGTCCGTGCAATCACAAGAAACCTTTCTCGACAGCGTGTACGATGATATTAGCTGACCTGAGCCGCCCACTTTGCGACTTAATGTTTGACAATGTCCATACATCAGCTATATCTACTGCGTTATCATCTTTTATTAAATCTAAATTGAATGTTTCATCGTCATCCAACACAGACATTGGTATTACTTCCAGTGAAAATATCATACCATATACAAACTGTTCTTTCACCTGAAATTATGATATTTAGGTACTTAATTCCATAGATATCATAGAAGTACGAATTCAATTTACCTCGTCCATGAAAACGTTCCACGGATACAAGCTCTCAGGGTTCGATCCAAGTAAACTGATAGTTTTACATAATTCATTGTGATAGGCTTTTAACAAATCATCGAACTTGTCATGGAAGATAGACTTGTTGCTACCAACATAAATGAGAGTAGATAGATCCACGACTGGACTAGCACATCTTGCCAATTGGAAGTCGAGTATCAAAGCTTCATGTTCGGGAGATTTTCGAGTCATGAAATTTGGAACCCATGCATCTCCTTGTACAACAACTGATGTTGGATGATGTTTCCGAGCACAAATCTCCGTAGCTTTTTTATATAGATCACTAGCTTGATAAGAATTAATTTTTTTTTCTGCCTTGCTACCAGGATATTCTACAGCTACGGCATTTTTAGCAATACTTAATATCATTTCCTACAAAAAAGCAATTAGCGTTCTTATATTTCACAGCACAAAATGTTTTAAAACTAGAAATAACTATTAATCTTACATTAAATCTTCTGTACCAATTCCAGTGTGCAGGACTGTAATATGTTTCACGCAAACTTTCTACAATTTCCTCAAATTTTTGTTTATGCTGGTCTTTAAACGCAAATGAAATTGCTTGAAATCTTGCTAAACCTTTTACAAGTATTAAGAACTGGTTATAATCTAAATTCGCTTGTCTTGGTACAGACTTATATCCCAGAAGACTAACATCTTCCAATGCTATGAAATCATTTTCACCATTCTCGAAAGCAACTAGACAACGTGGAATACATAATGCTTGTACTTGATTCTTTTCCTTCACAAACTTCTCAAATTCTGGAATGACCTGGATGATATTTTACAGCTAAAATTGTATATGGTACATGAAAGTAATTAGGAACTTCATATTTTATACCTTTGTATAAAAAGCAATCTCATTGCTAAAGAATTCTTGATTTCGGAATGTCTTCCTTCTGGCCAGATTTTCTGGTAGACATTTGACTACCATGGAAACTTGTACTTCCTTCCCATTAACAGTTCCATTGACTTTAATCTTATAAATAGTTGACAAATAACTATCACCTGTAGCATCTCTCGTATTGCACTCCCAACTTAATACGATTGCCTCTTTCCCATGCACAGTTTGCAATGCAGTTCTTAGTGTTTCCTCAGTGAAATATTTGCCCACTTCTTTCAACTTGGCATAATCCTTGTTAGTACTTGTCATATTTCTTCGTGATTACTGACCAAATTTTTAAATAATTATACTTCGGATTGTGTATAATTAGAATAAATTATTAAGTAGTATTATGATCTTATGAACTACCAACTTTAACTAACAGTATGATGTTAGATGCCACAGGTATTTATCAAGATCTTATCAAACTTTTGTGTACTGATAATTGATACGGAATTTTTTGCTATCTATTTATCTTATCAAAGTAATACTTACTTTTTGATTATGATTTGTAACTCCTTTTTTTGTTATATGTTATTTAGGAGCAAGTCTCTTTCCTCTTACCAATTGATACCAATAATAAAGTACTTATGGGAGAATTAAATGACATCACTAGAGACATCAAGGACGTACGTTACACGTGGCAGAGTTTTATATTAATCAGAAGTAAAAAATCATAGTATTAAAATAGATAATACAATGTATTACTAAAACTGATTATAAGTTATAATTAAAAAAATGGACAGAAAATTTCCATTTAAAATTCGTATAAAAATATATTATAC